AATGTCTATTACATGTTTAAAGCTTTAGTGAGATTTTCTAATTATGAATGTTCCTTCTAAAAATCATTCTTTTAGCACTGCAGAAAAGAAGAAGAAAACAGTTAATCTCCAGTATTGTCTAATGACCTCGTAACCTTTCTTTATAATCTGAAACATGTTTAATTTCTATATTTTATTCTTGTATACAAGATTGCAAAACCAGGTTCTGCTCCATTCTAATGAAAGTTTTACCAGAGAAGAAAGAACATTTGGTCCTAGTGAGGTATCATCATTTTCCCTGTGTAATGAATTGGATGTTTCAGGGTACTTCGATTGCTTGTTGGATGTTCCATATGATTTGGAGTGTGTTAGAAGACAAAACATATCATTTCCTGATTTCTTATGAAAACAATAATTGGTTGACTAAAAACTGAATGTGTGTGTTTATTCATCTGCTCACATTTATTCAATTGTAAGCGTGAAAGTACATATTATTATTATTACAGAGGAACTTTTTTTCTTTTCTTTTTCTTTCAATTTTACTCTTCTATAATTATTATTTTTCATTATATAGTAATTAACACTCTTTAAAAAGGTTACTACTTTCAATCTCTAAATGATCTCAAGCTTGGAAAACGGTCAGTGGTACACTTTTGAGACATGGATTGGATGTATATGCATGTCTACATGTAAGGACATTGCTCCTCTATATTGTAAAACTAGGTATACATATTCGGAAACAATTTTTGTGTTTCCTCAGCACTGTGAGCTATCCATTCAAATATTTGAGAAGGCATAGAAGCAGAACGAGTGAAGGTATATTTGACCATGGTATATAGTTATATCTTGTTATACTTCTTTCCCTTTTATAGTGCATTCTTATTTCTGCAATTACTCTGAATTTGTTATATATATATATATATATAATTTACTGCTCAATATTTATTTTAATAACTATTTTAAATTTTTAAATTTTATCAACTTTCTGACTGTTTCGTGTATGCTAGCTCTCCTAGTTTTTGGAGATGTAATTCTCTTATTTTGTTGCTTACAAAATACTTCTGTGTTGCAGGTATATCAATTATACCGATGGTGGGATAAAGCAAATATTTGATGCACCTGGAGCTCCAAAGATGCTTTCAAGGCTTGAGTCAGTGTCTAATTAGATCAAGTAAATTCTTTGGGAGGATGTTAATGGGTTAGAGGCGCATTTTTTTAACTTTTGTATTAAACAGCTTGTTAGATACTATAATACATTTGAGTTAAGTATTTGTAATTGTCATATATTTGAATCAAGTGTTTCTAATTATAGTATTTTGTATGACACGTGTAATAATAATTTTTGAATCAAGTGTTTGAAGTTTCTACATTTACATGTATGGAATAAAATTATATAGAAGTCAACAACGTAGAAAGCTATTTATTTATTTTTCAAAAAAAAAATTACTTTCTATAACGGTTCTCTCAAAACTGATATAAAATGTTTTCAATATGGGGTTCAACCACCCGATATGAAACGTTTCAGCTTTTCTATGTCGCCGGTATCTATATGGGGTTCACAACCGACATTAAAAGTCGAATTTAACCCATATTAAATGTCAATTTTCCACTAGTGAATGCATAATATCCACTTGCAATAATGCTTCTGAGAGTGGAGAGTGGTGTTTATCCTCATCATATCCCTCCTTTCCTTGCGTTAGGAGATCTCAATAAAAAATGCACTTGTGTTACCTGATAAAACCTCACATGTGGCATATTCAATCGTCTGCATTGGCTCCTTAGTTGGCTTGCAATCATTAAAGTAATTACTCTTGTAATTCCAGATAGGAAACAATTAATTCCAAATCCATTTCTACCTTCAAGTATAAATAAAGAATTACATCTCTTCTCAATAATTTGAACAAAGCCTCCAAAAGTATTAACATCCTGAAAGATGATACTGGAATTCAATTCTAATTTATTGTAAGCTCAGCTACCAGAAAAAAATTGGGGATAGAGGCCATCAACCAAGAAGCCTTTTTCAAATCAAGGTGAATAACAAAAATAATCCCATGTTTCATTTCAGAAATACGTAGTGCTTTGCTATTAATTATATGGAATTGAAATCATTCACTTTCAATTGAAATTTCACACCCATATGGCATAAGAATAGGCTGATACCTTTCTGGATTGCGCCTTTTCTGTTTGCAGCTGCATTTTGCCGTTGCGGATGACTCACCTATGAATACTGCTCCTTTGCCTGGTTGTGCATTTGCCCTGAGTCTATTGGCCCTTTTTATGCTTAAACTTACTAATTTCAATCGTGTTCTTCCAATTCAGCCGTGTTCTAGCAAGTTTTGAGGACTCACAACCGAAGTATATTGATCTGTAGCCTAGTCGACTCTGGTTTTGGCCAGTTGCAGTCGCCACACAAGCCTGTTGTTGTCGACGCCCACCGTCGTCGGGAGGGCAAACCCTGTTTGTGTGGATGTGGAGTGCCCGCCATCCGTGGGCAATCAAAACTCGGAGCTAAAATTCCGTCATCAACAATGATGAAGCCACATCGTCGCACAGGGTCTAGATCATGTCCGATTGCGGTCTCCTTCGAAGAATCCTCTGCCACCGAAGACAAACACAATATCCCACCATTACTCTTGTTGAAGTTCCACTGTGGTCATAGATCCCATCTGGTCTCAACTTCAAATTGAGTTTTATCCCAGATTTCTTGTGTTCCTGGGACATTAACCGAGAAAGATCCCAAAAAGAGAGGATATCATTCTGCCACGTTGCTGGTTGGCACACCGCCGCCGCCGGGAAGCCCTGGAATCGCCAACCCTACTAGTTCCTCAAGCCCCATATGCCACATACACACAAGTATAATATTGTAAAGGGAAAACTGTGTTTTGGTACCTCAATTAATCACCATATTGAAATGTCAGACCCATGTTTTTGAGATCGTAAATGTCACCCCCGAATCGACAAATATGTTGTAGATGTCATCCCCACCATTTATAATCCATCTCTAATTCTAGACTACCAACCAATTCGACGGGGATGACATTTATAGTACATCAGGGGATTCGGGTGTGTCATTAACAATCTTAGAAACACGGGTCTGACATTTCAATATGGTGACTAAGTGAGGGACCAAAAATATGATTTCCCTATTGTAAAAGTGTGATGCTCGAGATTAATTTAAAAGACTTAATATTCTACTCATACTAACAAGGTCCATCTCCTTTTAAGGGAACTCGTCAGCTAAGAACTCTACATTAAGCGTGCTTGCACGATAACAGTCTTGAGATGGGTGACCCTTTGAGAAGTTTTCAGACGCGCACGAGTGAGGAAAAAGTGAACGGTAAAATATTGTGTTGGTTTGTGAGGACAGTACTAGAAGTCTAAAGAGTATCTAAGAGTAACTATCTTGGACCCTGTGAGGTCAGCGTGTTACAAAAAGTATCTCATAGCAACCTATCAACATTCTTATCGCTCGAATGGGAGAGTATTGTTATGTAATTCAAAGGAAACACATAACATAAACTTTATTTTCGGTTCACTGAATGAAGGCGGGAGATGGGACCTTATGGAGTTTATTGGCACACACCTCTATGTCCAAATGTTGAGGGACAAATAAAGATAATGGGCATTGAAGATGAGTCTGAACATTGAAAGTCTATTACACTTACTGAAGGCGGAGGGTAGCGTCAATTACCCTCAACCCCAGCTTTATTATACTTGGCTAAGATCAGCGTATCAGAAGAGAAACATGGCTAATGTCACTTCGCCCCACGCTAATGTAACCACATCCCACACATATGTCATCTCGCTTCATCCTAGCGTAATGACATAGATAATAAAGGGACACATGTCTCATTTTCAAAGACTTAGAGATGACTTATTGTCTGATGTGAGTTTCCCTGCACTTAAAAATGTAGTAATATAGTGGTAAAAAGTACGAGTATCGTCTCCACGGGGACGGAAAAAGGGAATCAAGAATTAACTAAATTCAGCGATTAAAAAGAAATAAATAAAATAAAATGCAATTGTGCGAGATTGGTTGAATTGAAATTAACCTAATGCGAATGAACGATTAAATAAAAAAGTTGGTTTCTCTTTAATTAACGACGAAGGGAACATGGATTGATTCCGGGGTAACCCGATTTCTGGCAGATCAGGCCTAATTACATGAATTTAATTTAATTGAGCCTAGCTAATCATTATTAAGTTCTTACCGCTCTCGCGGCGTGGAGTACAATAATTTAGGGGACCAGGCTGAGCATAAATATAATTATACTATTAGTATTTTAAATATATCTTAATAGTATATTATACATTAAATCTGGATAGTAAAGAGAAAGACAAATGCAGGGCAGATAAGGATCCTCTGCAAAACTGATGCAACCCCAAAACAACAGTGAATACAAAACCAAACACAACAAAAGGTAAACAGGAGAGTACCGAAAGAGCCAAAAGGGGAAAACGGAAGAAAACTTACAATTCAAGAGGTTTGGTAGTAGACGCAGAAATATACAGGAGAAGAACCGCAGGTGAGAGAACTAAATTGGCGGACTGCAAAACCAAGAGGATCAAACTTGCAGATAACCAATAGCGATAACAACTGCGTGTAAAAAGCCAGCTGCGTGCGACGCAAATAAGAATGGTGTCAGCGGGTATTCCAGCGCGAATAAGCAAACGGGCGATATTTTGACGAGGTTGATACTCCGTCAGTGAAAACCGTGAATACTGTAGTGACGGAAGAGGACGAAAGTAAGCCTTTTATATAGTAGAGAGATTAATAGTATTATTATTTCTAAAAGAACTTTCAAGCAGTAACTTTTGTCCTAATTCCTATATCAGTAATATTGTAGTTGTAAGTGAAATGATATATACCCAAATTTGAAACATTTCATGCTTGGGCGAATTGCAGTTTTTATCTCTTTGACAATAACAGGGACACACGTAACTATTGACTGGAGTGGAAGTGTGGTCTTCTAATTGCGACACGCAATCAACTCTAATTAATTTGTTTTAAACGGTACTACAACCAAAATCGTCAGTCGTCACATCGCCATACTTTAGATCAAGAGGCAATTAAAGCAAAAAATGTTCCATTCCTATAATTAACATTAACATTAATTGATTGATTTTTTCTTCCTAAGAAAGTAATCCAGTGTGAAAGCGTGTGCCAAAACCCCACAAACAGTCTGTCTTCAAAGCTGTAAAGAAATAATGCGAAAATGCAAATGATCCGCAGAGTCGCACCATCCGCCATGGCCTCTCTCTCTCTTCCTTGTTCTAGGGTACGCGCGTGCTCTCTCTACATGTCTCTTTTACTGCTTATCGGATATGTTTGATCGGCATGATCTTCGGATTTGGTTTTCCTTTCTAATCTGCGCGTGGAGCAGATCTTTAGCTTTATATTTAAATTTCATCGATGGAGAGTTTCAACACGAAATCATTTAATTTGTCAGAAAAATTCAGATTCGTCTAGATGCACTTTTTTGCGTGGAGATGGCAATTAATCGAAATGAATGTAAAATCTGCGAGCCGCCTTTATTTTGATTGAATTTGTTTTGTGAAGATCTAAAGGTCTAACAGATTATAATTTTTCTTCTCCAGGAGAAGATGTGTTGTTTATTTGAAATTAACATGAAATGCAGTTGATTTCTTTTAGCATTAAGCATTAGCTGGCCTATTATCTACACATCTTGTTTATTTTGCTTTAATCAGTATGCCCAGTTCTTGTATTTTTTTTATTGTATTTAAATGCTTTATGTAGCCAGGGACAGGAATTGGTGTGTGGCCTGACATGAGACAGCTTTCTGTTAGGAAGAATCTATTGTATGTGTTTATGAGACTTTTTTCGATGCCATTCAAGACAATACGTGGTGCTGGCCGGACTCTCAAAGTTTCACATTTCTGTAGCATTACAAGCGTGTCTTCCACTCTGCAAATTGAATTGGTGAGTCAGGCTAAAAGCATCAATTTTATTTAAACACATGCTCAAAATCCGGTAATGTTCTTGTTTAAATGTTAGATGATTTTGCTATGTTTAGCTGAGTTTAGCGATAAATGGTTTACGTGAATTTTGATGATGTATATTCAAATCTGTATGGATTATGGAATTCATGGCCTGTTTTCCTGAAGATATGGAAAGTTACTATGCCTATGCTAGTTAGCTACTCCCTTTTATGGATTACTGGATTTCCTTATTTCCTACTCAATCTTTCTTGTTGTAATGGAGTGATGAGATATCACAGTTCTGGCATATTAATGAACAAGTATTTTGTTTATAGTTTTTTACCGCCTTGATATATTACCTACCTTTCAAAAAGTATCTCCTACCCTAGGAGGTGGTGGAAGTACTCCAAATGGAGATTTGAACCTGTGTTGATAATATATAAGTATTTCAGTTTTGTCAGCTCCTAAGAATAAAGTGACCCACATTACATTGTAGTTTTGCCTCACTTTTGTTTAGCAGAGTTATCTTAAGGACAATAATTGTTTTATCTATTACTTTTGCTTAAAGGACAACTATGCATAAAGGACAACTATTATTTGTCAGGTGCCTTGCTTAAAGGACAACTATGCATATCTACTGCATGATGTGGATACGGGTACTGTTGGAGTAGTTGATCCTTCTGAAGCGGTGCCTATCATAGATGCTTTGAGTAGAAGCAATAGAAATTTGACTTACATATTGAATACACATCATCATTATGATCATACTGGTGGGAACATGGAGTTAAAAGCAAGGTACGGGGCGAAGGTATGAAAACTTATCATAATACGAATTTATGAAGCTTATATGGATTCTTGATGGAATGGACTTGAATTTTCTATATCCAATTCAAGTGCTAAAGTTGTAAGCACTTACTTCATCAGTCTTTTTGTTGTGGTATATGATGAATTGAACATATTATGCAATTATGGACTAGATTCTGCATTTTGCTATGAGCATTGGATGTGCTCTTTTGGGATGCGTTTCACTTAATCTAAGCATTAAATCTATGCTAAGCATAAATAATATACAAAAGTATATGTATGCAGCTGTGACCTATTTACTTAAAACGCGCTAGCTTATTAGCTCTATCATGGATATTATATTAAGACGTAGTTAATAACTCGGGCTTGAAATGGTAGTTGTCCGCAAGGGATCCATGAGTTTGGTTTGTTAGTTCCTAATTGTGTCGGCTGCATCAGTCTTTCCAAATACCTTCAAGGTCATTTCTGCAATTCTTTGTTCTTGAATGCTCAGTTCAATAAAGAATTGCATAATATTGTGACCAAATTTCAATTATAGTCCCAACTTCTATGACCACAGCAGGTGAGCTTGGTTTGTTATCCAGTTTGTTGCATTAGTAATTCACAATTCCTTGGCTGGTTAAGTCCATCTTTAAGAATACTTGGTCCTATAAAGAAATGCTTAAATTGTGACGAAGTCTCAAATCTTCATGTCCAACTTCCAAGTGATAGGCTCTTACACATTTTATGGGTTAGAATTACTGATTTCACTTTGATTTGTACTGAGTAGCTGATTTTTTTCCTAATCAAGTTTTGATGGCTACACATTCTTCTAGGTTATTGGATCCAGAACCGATAAAGAAAGGATTCCTGGCATTGATATAGCTCTACGAGATGGGGACAAATGGATGTTTGCAGGCCATGAAGTTCTTGTCTTTGAAACTCCAGGACACACACAAGGTTCTATTAATATACTTAATATTTGATACCTGATGTCTTTAGATAGTTCCTCCATATGGTTAGCAGTCATGCTCTGCTTTAAGATCTATTTTAATGACAGGGTCAGCTTAAGTTAACTTAATTCAGCTTTATTATTAGTGTATGGTTTAACTATGGATTCTATTTCCTATTTTCATTAGTATCAAATTAATTTTTTGAAAGGAAAAATATTAATTATTATTAATCAGATCAAAGTTTAAAGAGGAAGAAATACAAGAAAGATGATTAACAAGCCAAATGTAGCGATCAGGCATAGAACAAGCGACCCTCGCTAATTCGTGAGCCACCCGGTTCGCAGACCGCTTCACATGAGAAAATGAGATGCTAGTAAAACTAGCCGAGATATCTCTAATATCATCGATAAGAAGTCTGACCATAGAATCATCCTCTCGAATTAATGCTCCGAATAACTTGTTGAGCGTCGGACTCCACGTCAACAAAATCCCATCCAGCTTCTCTTAACCAACTGAGTGCCTCTCTTATTGATAAAGCTTCTGCTATTGACGGAGAGCAACCTTGAAGCCCCCGGCTTACCCCTCCTGCTACAAAAGAACCAATGCTGTTACGAACTACCCACCCCAAGCCGCTACCTTCCCCTGGTTTTATGGCAGCATCTGTGTTCAGTTTTAAACGACCTGCCTCCGGCCGGCTCCAGCTCCTTGAGCTTCCCCGTTGCTGCGCTGACTTGTGAGGACCCTCCTGGGCCCTACTCCACCCCTCCAACATTGCTTTTGCCTCTGCCACAATGCAGCTAACTGGTATAGTTTTCTGCTCCCATACTTTAGCATTTCTTGCACGCCATATATACTCCAAAGAACCATCACAAACATTCTGCCGTGATCAACTTTCCTTGTGCTCAAGCATTTAGCCACCCAGTCCATGAAGCTATCCCCCGCGCTAGCTGGAAGGCTCCAAGCCTCCAATTAATATCAAGTTAATTGTTTCATTGTTTCGTTAACATATTGTTGTACTGCAATTTTCTTCTTCTATCAGTGTTTGTGTGCCTCAACTTCTTTCTACCTGCAGCTTCATATAGTTAGGTCTACACATTTATGGATGTTTTTTCTTCAGCATCCGAATACTGCAGTAAAAATCATGTCTTATTAACTTATTATGATGTCCATACAAGATATACAAAATGAGCAAAGCCTGCTAGTCTACCACTACGTTTATGGTTGCTTTTTCTCCATCCCGTCAAGCCGTATGATGTGTCATATAAAAAAAGAACCAAGCTCTTTACAAGTATACTCAATTATGAGTATGCCTAAGAGATCTAGTTAAGATGTCTGCAAGTTGATTTGCAAATGTATACAAGTCTAGTACCTATACCTACTACCTAGCAAATGTTTTCTGTTGGCTTTGCGATCCTCATGCTCCTTATCTTCATCCTCCATGTCTAAAATTTGAAGTGCATGCGAAACTTGTGATGGTAGGATCTTTCATTCTTATTTTGCATCTATTATCCCATTTCCCTATTCATAGGCTCTGGACACTTCAAATTTGTTGTGTCTTTGTCCTACAATACATGCATTTCCCGCTTCGTTCATTCCCAATTGCAATTTGCACTTCCTCTACGTACACTTAACAATCAATTGAATCAAGATAGAAAATGTCAAAAGTCAAAACACATATTCTAGCTGAACATTAGATCGTAAACATTTCAGAAGCTAACGTAACATATTTTCTTGCTGGACTAAATCATAAGCTTGTAAGAAACTTACTCAACATACTTTAAGCTGAACCTGATGTCCTGAACATCTGAAAAATTAACCGAAGTAACATCCAAGACTGTAATGCGACATTTTAAATTTAATAAACATAAAATGCATAAATCGGAGGAGAGTTGCATAAAAAACACAAACATGTTCGGAACTAATTCAACATATTTTCTTTCTAGCTTAACATGAGGTCCTGAACTTGTCAAAAACTAACTGAAGTGTTGAACTAACATGGAAGAACGGAGTTTCTGAAAGACTAGAACTGGAGCAGAATATAATGAAGAGAATGGATTGTTTTTTTACATAATTTCATTTCTCTGGTAATGTAAATAAAACAACAACATCCAAGCCTTAGTCCCAATAGATTTTGGGGTTGTCTAACATGAAATAAAAGCAAATACTAAATACAACTGAATTAAGAGTCCTATCAACTGGAGAATTGTGTAGTCCTATTACACTTTGAACTTGAATTGTACCTAAAGAGTGTCTACTTGGAAGCACATATGAAAAAGATTGGGCAAGAAAGGATTCATCTGAGAGTAGTCATAGCTATGCACCAAGCCACCAATACATAGTTACCGGAAACTGGTGTAAAAGAATATGGAAGTAACAAAGAATTTCAAAAAGGAAAGAAAAAGATCGCCTTCATTTTTGCTTCAGGGCGAATAGCCGAATATAACTCATGATTGCTGTTTGCTGATATGCATTTTGGTTGCAGACAAGGATTTCAGCACTCACTTGTTGTAATATTCGGATGGGGCGGATAGGCTTTACATATGGGTATGGACTTTTTTCAAAATTAGACCATAGCCCATAATTAGGGGGGGGGGGGTGATCAAATGAAAAACAGAACAGTGCACTAAAGGCACTCACCTTGCGTCTCACATAAGTGTGCGCCTTAACTGCGGACGACTCGGTTCAGTTCACCTAGGTGATTAAGTGATTTAAGGCGCAAAGCGTCTTGCATGTTCTTGTATTTGACTGCCTTGTTGGTATTCAAACAGGACTCGCTCACCCACAGTGTATCCTTGTTCTATACTTCTATAGAATAAACATCTCAGTCCCACTTCTCAAATTCATAAGACGAGCTCTAAGTTTAACTGGCACAATCTTCTACCCCCTCTTCTCATGCAGCTCTGTTATTTTTCGGTTTGTAGCTCATCTGTTAAACTGTATTAGCATGTACTTAGTTGCTTACCTGAACCTCTGATCCTCTGCTCCTCTGAACTTCTAAAGTAACAGTATACGTTAACATTTGTTTTACAATATCTCTAGTCTGTAGTCATATTAATGAGGTCTATGACGTTGAGAAAAGATTGCACCATGTAAAAGCTTCATGAATTGGCTAATTAGATTATGAAAATTTACAATGAGAAAATTTTAACAATATTTTTTTTAAAAAATAAATTAATACATTAATAAATAAAATCTAGTCAAACTAGGGCATGTGAATAGTGTAAAATTCAACATGTTGCATTTATTTAAGAACAGAGGTAGTATTAAAATTGCACAGAAAAATGTGAACCTTTAATTTTCTGTTGCTACACGTTTTTAGGACAACTCTTTCTGTGTTCTCTTATTGCAATGCCTAAGAATGTAAAAGCATTTTCTTTTCTTGTTCCTAATAAATAAAAGCCTACAATTTTTCTCAGATACTGTTGGATCTAAGTCTTATGTTCAACCATGCTATTGCGTAGATTCCTTTAAGGAGTGCGTCACATCTTTTGAAATTGCGCAATGCAATTGCGCCTCAAGGCGCGCCTTAGCGATTTTCCCTTCAAATACAATAGAAGGTGTCTCTCAAATCGCGCCATGTTAAGGCTAACGCCCTTCAGGCATGAGGCGCATGCAATAAGTCATACGCGATGAGGCGTAGCAGAGGCATGCACTATTTTTGGGTGTAGACGTGTTGTGAAAGTGTTTGGGCCCACTTAAAATACACCCGACATATTTACAAAAACTTCCATGTGATAGACAATAATTTTAGGGGGTGTCCCCAATTAGTCAGTTAGTCGTCTTCTCTCTGTCATGAATTGCTGCAACAAGTCGCCGATGCATGTCCTCCTCTATCATCTAGCCTCATTCATCACTCTGCAGTTCGAGCATTTACCTTTGTTTTGGTATTTCTTTTCGCAAGTTTTGAAGGCTTTAAAACGCCGTTTTTGACTTCTGTTTTCGACTTGTAGACTTGTTGTTTTATGTGCTTCGTATTAGATGGTTGTGTTACAGCTGGTGTCCATCTTTAAAAATGGGGTTATCATTATTTTACTACTACACAGTTGTACTCCATTAAAATACTTGAGCTTTTATGTTGATTTATGTTATTATATTTTTTTTAACCCGGTTAAGTCCAAAGAATCCAAAAAAAATTTGGGGTAGGGGCCAGGAAACACCCTACCTCTTTATTAGATTGAAAAAACTAGGGAAAACTATCAAATAGGTCCTCGAACTTTCATAAAAAAATCAATTAAGTCCTTATATAGGACATTTTGTCCGGTCGTCACGATTTGGGGCGTTCCCGATGGAATTTTTTGATGAAATTTTTTGAGCATCTTATTCATCAAGTCTAGTTTACTCATACCAAATTTCAGCTAAAAATTCAATCGGGAACACATTCAAATTAATTCTTGAAGATAACTGCGCATTTTTGCTTTCTCGAATTAATTTGAATGCGCTCCCGATTAAATTTTTAGCTGAAATTTGGTATGAGTAAACTAGACTTCATGAATAAGATGCTCGAAAAATTTCATCAAAAAATTCCACTGGGAACTGCCCCAAATCACGACGACCGGACAAAATCTCCTATAGAAGGACTTAATTGACCTTTTTATGAAAGTTCGAGGACCTATTTGACAGTTTTTCCAAAAAACTACAAAGAGTAGGAGGATTAGACCAAAGCCTACTTGTATATATGTTGATATATGTTATATTCGTATACTTTATTACTTTTTTTGTGGTCTTTTAGATATGTATAAGTGTATTTGTACTTTTGTTTTGAGTTAGTAAATACTTGTATTACATTATTAGTTATATATTACATATAATTTAGCTTTTTAATCTATAATTTTATTTTATAGTTAAATACAAGGTTTAAAAAGGCGGGTTCGGGTTTCAAGGCGGTTTGTTCCTAAGAGGCGTATTGAGGCGTAAGCCTCAAAATATATAGACATATAAAACTTAAAATAGTTAAACTAGTAACAAACAACTTTAGAAGTAAATGATATATCCATATGAACTAATACCACTAAACGTGAAGTCCAAAAAGTGTGAAACACATACTACGTATGAGTTAATACCAGTTAGTCATTAGATCTCAAACACACAAACAGACATATCACACACAGAAGCATCACACAAAAGATGAATAGAGAGTATACATTAAGGACTTTGGGGTTTAAATGAATAAAAGACTTGTTAGGGTTTAGTGTGGGCACACGTTTAATTAATGGACTTCTATTTAAAAAGTACTTTAGGCCTTTTATTAAATGAAATACCTTGGGCCTTTTTTAAGTTACTTCACATTAAAAACATAGAAACAAATGAAAAACGCCTCAAAAAACGCCTCATAATAACGCCTCAAGGCGTACGCCTCACCTTGAGCCACGCCTCAAAACCCGCCTCTTAAGCATAGTTGTCATGGCGCATGGCGATTGCCATGGCTCAAAGGCATTTTCCTGGCGCATGGCGATGGCACATATACAAATGGCGCATATAGCGGATATGGCGCTATGGCGATGACCACTTTTTCATGGCGAAGGCGCATATGGCGCGCGCCATATCTAGCCATTGACTACAATGCTCTTAAGCGCCTTTTTAAACCTTGGTTAAATATTATATAATTATAAGTTATTTAAATCTAAAAAATACTCCCTCCGTCCCTTAAAACTTTGCCAACTTTCCATTTTTGGATGTCCCACTAATTTTGCCACTTTCCATTTTAAGTAAAAAAATTTGTGGTTCCAGTTAATTCTAGTTAATTCTCTCTCCTATGCACAAACCTCAACCACACAATTTTTACTTTATTAATCCCCGTGCCGGTCAAACTTGGCAAAGTTTTAAGGGACGGAGGTAGTATACATATGCAATACTATATGATGTTTATATTAAAAATTACGGAGCATATACATATGCACACATTCAGAAACATTCTCTATGTGCTTTAGTACAGGGGTAAGGGGTAAGGCTGCTACATCCAACCCCCCTTACCCCATCATAGGTGGGAGCCTTTGCGGCACTGGGGTAATGATGATGATGATGATGATATGTATACATTATTTTATGTGTATATATAAATATTGTAATTGAGATTTGCGCCTCACCCTTATGCCTCACTACGCAATGAGGCTTACACAGTACGCCACACTTAAAAATTGCCATATATACGCAATACACAATTTCGAACATTGGTGCGTCGTGTGATTTGCACTCTCAGTTCACGTTTTTATGCTAGTGCTACACTTATGAACAATTTGCAATATGATAATATTCTCGTAATGATCTATGCTTTAATTATTCATCAACATGCCATCCCTTTGATTATATTACTATAAGCTGGAATTGATTGATCTTGGTTTTAGATTCTTCACTCAATTCGATTTTGATTGTCATTTTTATTAGTTTGTAATTTGTATCATTACGCACATGAAAAACTATGAGTTATTAATCTCTATGTTTTATGTTCTTTAAAAATATTTGATATCAGTGTGATTCTGCTATTTGGCAGGCCACATAAGTTTCTATTTCCCGGGTTCCAGATCAATTTTCACTGGAGACACTTTGTTTAGCTTATCGTGTGGCAAGCTGTTTGAGGGAACTCCTCAGCAGGTGATGAATTAACGCTTCTTATTGTTTTTTTTTCATCTAGTTGCATATTCATTCAAGGCTTCAAGCTCTGGCATGCATAATCATATTTCAAATCAGCTAATATCAATATGTGTTATCATTTGATTTGAAATCATTTGTATTGTACAAGTGATTGTATTTTTAAGCTAAACAAACACTGCATTGTTTGTTTGTCTGCAATTGGGATGTCCAATAACCTCCTCAATAGCCCCAATAAGGCAATATCTAATCGCTCATTCAGTACAATTTATATGGGTAGATCCACTAGGAATATATTACCCCCTTTGTTCCTTAATTTTCTTCTTGTCTTTGTTTTGCAATTGGATTTTCTTAGTAAGCTTGCTAAATATGAACTGGGAGAAAATTATATCACGACTTTAGTAGATTGTATAGATATTTTGTTATGGTAGATGAAATTTGGACCCCTAAAAGAATGTGCAGTTGGTTATATTTTTCTCTTCTTTGTTTTACAGATGCTCTCTTCACTAAGGAAGATTATGTTGTTACCCAATGATACAAGTATTTATTGTGGCCATGAATACACTTTGGTAAACTGACTTACTTTTTCGTTCTGTGTACTTTATCTCTGTTATCAAATATTATGCTTTGACTTTACTGTTGCACATATATACACAGAATAATTCAAAGTTTGCGCTCTCTATTGAACCTGGAAATCAGGAGTTGCAATCATATGCTGTCCAGATCACAAATCTTTGCAAGAAGGGCTTACCCACAGTAATTACTACAACTAATAATCTACCCCCTCTCCCAAAATGAATTCCACCCTTTCCCTTTTGGGATGTCTCAGTATAAACTTCCCATTTCCTTGCAAGGAAAGAGTTTCACGTTTGATATTGTTTCTCCATTTTCTGAAGAAATTTCAGACTACATAATTTCGTTGTTTTAAAACGCGTGTCAAGAGAAGTGGGAAATTATCATGGGACAGATGTAGTACATATATACACACAGTTATTCAGTTTCATCTGATATGGTTCTTCACTTTATGGTTCAAAATTTACAAGTGATATTTCAAAAGTTTCCTGGCTTTGAAATATCATTTTTTTTCAAGTCTAAAGTACAGCACTATCATTTTTTCAAAAACTGTTTTTTGAGTAAATGTTTTCTATATACTGAGTCTTTCTGAGCTCTTGAATCTTTATTAGAAAGAGGAAAAATGTATTCTAGTTTCTCTATAACACAATTATCGTAACGGCCACCTTATCCTGTTGGTGTTGGTGGAATGAAATGTTTTGGGTCTTTAGTTAATTGTCTAAATTTAGCAGTACAAATTAATGCAAAAAAGTAGTGGCGAAGCTTTGCTGTGATGCCCTTCAAGTTGCATGTACCCTTCTTACATTGGAACAAGGGGATAGAATTCTGATACTTGAGGTACCTGCTATAGTTAAGAGTTAGGACCTAGTACACAATCGATATTGGCATCGTGAAATCAACATATATACCATAACAGTCAAATCAACATATATATCATAACCGTCAAATCAACATATATATCATAACGGATAATTTTTAGAGTGGTTCTGTGCATGTGTATCGACTATCGAGGCAGATATCCAGTTTAATACAAATGATCCCCACTTGAAGTGTTACTGTTAATGTCTATATTATGTTATCCCAGTTAACTTATGTACTTTGAATATAAGACCTCTATGTATGAAGTACGTTTGGCCAGGTTTGAACATACTAATTGACCACTTCGGCATACCTTTTAACTTCACTGCTTCAATAACACATGATTCATTTACCCTTTGTGAGCTTGTGGTGTGCTTGATCAGCGTTAGCTTTCATTTGCTCACTGTTTTGAAGCTACACCAGTTTGATTGATGGTTAACTGATTAGGTTTTAGTATGCTACTCTTTGTTGCATCTGCACATTTCGTGAGCAAGTATATTCCCTTTTTAGTAAAACCATATGTGATTCTCAACTATGATGAAATCCAGATTCCAACTACCCTGGAGAAGGAGAAGCTATGCAACCCATTCCTCCGGACTTTTAGTATGGAGATCAGGAGATCGTTAAACATTCCAGACTCTGCAGATGACGCTGAAGCCTTGCATGCTATCCGCCAAGCTAAGGATAACTTTTAGCATAGGCTTTCCATCCAGTATAAAGCTAGTGACCCCCCCCCCCCCCCAAAAAAAAATGAAATTGTTGGAATGTATTGTAGCTCGTGTGTATAGGTAACAATTTCTTCGCTAGTCCTCATGTAATAAAAGCAAACAGATTCATTGTTTCTCTACAACAGACGCATTGTTTCTCGTTTCTCTACAACAGATGCATGGTTTCCCTACAACAGATGCTGTGATTACATTTCTCATTGAATATCTGATCTGTTGAACAGAACAGATGGAGTTTGGTTGAACAAATACACGCCAAGATTCTTATATCCCACTACCACAAAGACTACTGCGATGGTGATGCCTCAACAGAGCTCTATCATGTAATGGATAATGTACAGTTCCAGACAGACAGGCTGGGTTACCCCTTCACCATCACCTAAGCATGGTCCCTACTCCATAGGACTGGATCAGTGATAGCTTAGTCAGTCATATATGGGTTCTTATACATTAATACTGTATAATATTATGGTTGAATTGTGGTTTCATATCCACATGCTGGGCTTTTCATAACTTTATTAATGTTAAAATTTTCATGAATACTATTTTAGCCTTGTGTGGTTCAATGTTTGACTATAAATAGCTCATAGCTGAACCGATATTGAGACAGATCAAAACCATTTCACTGAACATATTCACTTTTTGTAGGTAATATTCTGGCTATTGTCATGTCACGTAGGCATGGAGCCGGGCTGGGCCGGGCCTAGGCCTGGTCGGGCCTTTTGTGTTTGGGGGAAGGCCCGGGACCGGCCTGGGTTGCCGCCGGGTCCGGGCCGGGCCTCGGGCCACTTTGTATTTTTTTCCTTTTTCTAATTAACCCCCGACCCCCCTCACCCCCACCCCCCAAACCACCCCAAATGGCCCAAAATACCAGCACAACCCAGGTTTTAAAAAAAATTGAAAAAAATAAAAATAAAAAGAATTATAAAGTCTGCACTTGGCCCGGCCTGGCCGATTCCATTTTCAGTTGACCCGAGCCCGCCCTTCCCTAACCAGTGGGCTGGGCTTACCCGGACCAGACTGTAGCGGGTCCCCGGGCCGGTTTGCGGCCCGACCCGGGCCCAAGACTAATGTCACGTGGTAAATTGACAACCATGCATCAAATATGATAACTTAAGGGCTCAAATAAACTATTGGACCTGACCGAGTTTTTGTGTTTACCTCCTCATTGTTAATCATATTGGGAATAGGGGTGAACCGTGCCCGGTCTGGTTTCGGTTTGGGCCTGGGCCTGGCTGGGCTTGGAGTTTAGTTGGTAAGGCCCGGGACCGGCCAGGTCGGTCCCTAATTATGTAACCTCGGACTCGTCCCCTTATTCCCCCGGTTTGGGCTTGGGCCCGGTACCAGAACCGGTTCACCAGTCCGGTCCTGCACAGTGGCGGGCCGGTTAGACCGGACTTGGGCCATGCCTAACTGGGAAAAGCCATAAGAAAAATGTTGTGTGGCAAAAAAGCTAGTCTATCTCAGCTAGTGGTGGACTGGGTTGGCGTCGGGCCGGGATTGGGTGGGCTTTGGGTCCGGTAATATCAGTCCTGTACTCCTGTCTCGGGTGTGTGCTGGTACCGGGTCGGGCTACCCGGTCGGGTCGGGATAATTATTTTTTGGTTAACTAATAATAATTCACAAGTGCTACGAAAAAATTCAATATATACTTATTGAAATATGAAGTACAATTGATAATTCAAAATAATTTCAAACATTAAATACAGATCCTAAAGAGTAATACAACGAGGATCAAGGACAAAGGCAATACCATATATAGACGGAATATATGTATAATTTTTTAAGAACTTTTCTTTCATATAATCACAAAAATGAGATTAATTAATAGAGATATAAATTTGACCCCTTAAAAAGAGGACAATGTTTTCAGCGTAAGCAAGGTTAGTGGTTTTCAGTTGGGAACATAACAGGTGGAAGTGAAATCTAGAACTTGGTCCTGTGGTACATGCTTTCAGCATATTCGAGAAGTACTCTAAGAAAAGAACAAAGGGAATATGGCACATGCATGGGATCGCCTTTCTTAAGTTCTCGTTTCCCTTGGAAAAAACATGCAGATTTTCGTTTTTGTGAAATATAAAAGGAGGCAATTGTGATGCCCTCCATAATCCATTTAGTGAAATGATTGGGAATGCCAAGGCCACACAAGACATCTTCTAGGAATTCTTATAAAACTGTGTATTATTTTAGACCTATCCAAAAAGGAAAATGTGAAATTTATTTAGGAACAAAAATAGTATTTTATCCAGTGGCGGAGCCAGAAAAATGACATAGGGGGGTCAAAAGTTAATTATATACAAAATCAAAACAGTGGATCGTTTTTAAAGAATACCTGAATTGAATATTTCATATGTAATTTAGACAAATGCCAGTTTAAATGAGATTAATATAGATATAAATTTCAATACACATGTCATATATATATATATATTATAAATTTGTTTTATATGTGTTTAGTCAATGAGTTTCCATGCTTGTGGCTGCTTCAGATGAGACCGTGTGCCTTTCCCTCTCACCCGATTTCATATCAAGATTTATTATATTGATGAGTAGACACTTATACCAATAATAAAGGGATCTGGGGCCTCTGCCTTGCTTTAAAGCAAGGTAGGGTGTCCGGCTCTTCCGGACCATTCGATCGGAAATTTGACGGTAAAAGTTCTTGGCTCCACCCGTCCTCTTCCCCTCCCTGCCGTCGGATGCCTCAAGCCACTCTGTCTTGTGGCAGAGGATCCGAATCCATAATAAAGATAAGTCGTATTTGTTCTGTCCCTAAACCATGTCAAGTACTCCCTCAGTCCCATTTTGGTTGTCATACTTTCACTTTTCTGCAAGAAATCTCAACCACAACTCTCTTCTTAACTTAATATAGGGAAAAGGTGCAAATAGGCCCATGTACTAACCAAAAAAGGTCAAATAAGCCCTTATTTAGGAGGCTCTGTCCGGTCATCGCCATTTGGGGTGGTTCCCGGTGGAATTTTTTGATGAATTTTTTTACCATCTTATTCATCAAGTCTAGTTTACTCATACCAAATTTCAGCTAAAACTTCAATCGTGAAGGCATTCAAATGAATTCTTGAAAATAATTGCAGAGTTAGAAGCGCAGTTATCTTCAAGAATTCATTTGAATGTCTTCCTGATTGAAGTTTTAGCTAAAATTTGGTATGAGTAAACTAGACTTGATAAATAAAATGCTCAAAAAATTTAATCAAAAAATTCCACCGGGAACCGCCCCAAATGACGACAGCCGGACAGAGCCTCCTAAATAAGGGCTTATTTGACCCTTTTTAGTTAGTACATAACATATTTGCACCTTTTCCCTTAATATATTAGACCTCAAATTTTGCCCATTTCTCTGTTTTCTGAAATCCCTCATTTCTCAGAAGCTCCTCACATCACCTCCGTTTTCTGGACCATGGAATTAGAGAGAGTGGGCGGGCTGGCGATTCACATCATCCTGTCAAAACTCGAGCCTGAGAATGTAGCCACGATGGCCTGCATTAGCCGGAGGTTTAGAAACTGGGTATCCGAGGACGACTCCCTCTGGTCTAAATTCTGCACCGACGAACTCGGACTGTCTTCACCTCAGGACCCACTGGGCAATCCTACCTCTTCTTTCAGGGTAATACTACTAATCCATTTGCTTAACTGTGGATAGTTGTGGTGGACTGGTGGTCAGATTGAAAGTTACCTGGACACCCCACTGAGCTGTTTTTGGCTTTAAAGTATATGTAATTCTTATCATCTGGACTCCCGTATTTTAAATTTTCCCATCTTTCCGCGTTGAATGGAACCTTCTGGGAGAGGTATACATTTGAGAGCCACACCACTCGTTACAGCCATTGTCTCAGTACTTTTATAATGATTCTGCCGCATCTGTCAACGTAGTTATTTTATTTATGTATTCCCTTTTGTGTGAGAGAATGTTTTCAGTGTGGTAGAATCTTTGTCTTTCTTGCTTTAAGATGGCACCTTGTAACGTGTTGAGCACTTGAACAGAAGTTTTTTTTAGTTTTCTTCTTCTTCCATTTTTACTGTCAAAGATATTTACTAAGCAATATGTATATATCAGAGTAGGATCAACTTTATGATCGGAGTAAGTGTAAGTGCCTTACATCTAATGGTCTAAGTGCCTAGACAACTCATCCAAGTCATTAAATTTAAGTAAATTCAATGGTGTAGATGAAGATTAAGTGTCTTACGCTTACTATTGGAGTTCATGGATACCTTCTATATATCTCATATAATATACTCCGTATAATATAAATATAAATACAGACATAAATGTGTCTGCATGTTGAGCTTAGGGTTGGAGATTTGGAGCATATAGATTATAGTATGCACCTAACTGGTAACAAATAATACAAATTCTATGATTTCTTAAAGATTTAATAAAGTTATCTGCCAATTTCTCAACAGAGTTGACAAATTTTGTAGCAATTCTTTTATGCGTGTGTTTTAGGTCTCTTATCAAACATGGAGAGAAGATTTCAATATGTACCCATGGTCCTTGGTTATAAGAGCCAATAGATGTTGGAGTAGGATAAGAGGCTGGATAGAAATTAATTTACCTGAGGTTTTGCCTACCTTACGTAAAGGTGCATCTGAGGACCAAATAAAGCACTTGGAGGAGTGTTTAAAAGTGAAATTGCCTCTTCCCACAAGGGTCCTATACCGGCTTTGTGATGGTCAGGAAACAAGTAAAGTGGTCAATGAAAGCACAAACGGACATGTAGACCTGTTGGGCTTGATTGGGGGATACTCTTTCTATGACCATCTAGTGAATGTTTCCTTGTTTCCTTTATGTCAAGTCATAACTGAATCCAAGGATAATACACGTTATTTGGGAAACGGCAATAGACTGAACTTTATTGCTGTAGCATCTTCTACTATGGGTGATGAAAAAGTATTTTACTTGAAATGTTCAACTGGGCAACTCTATGTGGGTGCATGGAATTCATATACTGATGGAGAAATGTTTCATTGTGTACCACACTCTTTATTGGGTTCTGTGCATGATAAAAAGTGCAGCCAACAACAGGATGCGATGTTACTATGGCTAGAAGAATATGGTCAACGTTTAGAAAATGGAATTGTGAAGGTTCGAACAGAAGGAAACATTAGAAGCATCAGTCTTTATCCAGAACAACCTCCACTTTGTTCCGAGACTGTGACAAATGGTGTTAAGGTGCTGGTCTTGCCATTACATTATAGTCTAAACAAGTCATAGTACTTGATTCCTTTTTCTTTGTGCTAGCTGCCTGTGCAAGAAACCTGAAATATTTTTTTATCAGGTTCGTGCATCTGCTGTGTTTGTCCCAGAGTCTTGCGACCTTCATCATGATTCTGGGAAATATACTTTTGCATATTCTATCCGCATGTCTCTTTCACCTAAAGGATGCAACATAAATGGAATGAAGTTTAGTTCTTGCCAGTTGTACAGGAGACATTGGATCATCCGTGCCAATGATGATATTACACATGATGTTAGTGGAGAAGCAGTTATTGGAAAGGTATGTTTATATTTTCATCTTCTGTTATTTTTTATGTATAAATAAGAGTGTTAAGTTAAGGCTTTTAATCGGTGTTTTAATAGGCCTCGTCTGTTTCAAGATGATTCTTGATTGCATCATTTCATGATCTTGTCCTTACATTAGTCTAAACTTTGCTGGGTGAAACATGAATGATGCCCTCTTAAACCATTGTGTGATAAGGGGAAACCAATTTATTGGTCCTATGAACAATGTATTTTAAATAAAGTTGAGGAGTTATACAATGTAATATTTATTTGTAAACACTTCGTGCTTCATCTCATAAAGCACAAAATGATGTGAGTGGAGCAACATTTGCTTCTTTGATGTAGCACTAAAAAAGAAAAAATGACTACCATAGTAATGCTTAAGGGACACCGGTTACCTTATGGATACACACCCTATGTCAAATTAATATATTAAAGGGAATTTTATCAATTCAGGGATTGAAAGACAGTTTAACTATCAATACAAGACTTGAAAGATGAAAACGCTTGATATAGGGCCCGGATGATGGAAAACTATCAAGCTAAAACCTAAAATATCATGAATTTTATATATTTTTAATTTTAAATATTGTGAGTATAACTAGGTGGGCTATCTCGTGGCCTGCCACATCTATAGGTCACGAAGTGAGAGTCTCTTTTCTTTAATCAAGTGTTCATTATAGCCAACTCATACAATGAGACAAAATACAAAATTTTCTTTTCAACTTCATTTCTAGTGCTAAAATCACGTTTTCCATGGACACTCTCAAAGCCATTATGACTCAAGCCTACATACCCGTTGAGGACCCCTCCTATGACCAACTTTTCTCCCCTTGATACTCATTGCACCACTTTCTCAAGATCTTTCAAGATATGTCGAGTGACAGATGCATCCAATCCCACGTGTGGTGCATAGGTACATTTTAGGGTTTGCTGAATGTAATAGAGAGAAAATAAAGAGAGAGGGATTGAGGGAAATTGTATATCTCATACTCCGTACATTAAACCAAAAAGCAGTATATGCCCAATGCCTTTAGTAGTCACCATCTATTAATCCAAATAGACAATATTTAAATTACATTTGAATTAATATTCAACACTCCCCCTTAATTCAAATGTCCAAGAGATACCACACCGATCTCTACCCTTACGATCACAAATCTTTCAGTTTTCAAAGGTTAAGTGAAAATGTAGGCCTTCTGATCATGAGTGGGGCAGTACACCGACTCCAGCTTCACTCCATTCACTTGTTCACGCAGAAAGTGAAATCTGACTTCAATGTGTTTGTTCCTTCCATGAGAAATTAGGTTCTTCACAAGACTAATAGCTGAGATGTTGTCAACCATCAACTTTACTTTGTTTTTGGGTCTCAAACCACATCTCCTTGAGCAACGCTTCAAGCCAAATAGCTTGACAAACAACAAAAGATCCTGCAATGTATTTGGCTTCACACGAGGATAAATCTTGCATCTAGGTCTTGGAAAGTGGGGCTCCATACAGCTGAAACAGATACCTAGAAGTACTCTTCATATCATCCAGATTGCCACTGTAATCATGATCTGTAGAGCCAATCAGCTCTAGCTCCTTCCCAACCACCTTATGTCTTGGAAACAATATGCCACAGTCTGTAGTGCCCTGCAAATATCTCAGAGTTCTCTTTCCAGCAGCTAGATGTGTGTTAGGGACCGGGCTTATTAGATACTAAGAATAAAGGACCGGGCCTAGTAGAGTATTAATAAGAATAAAGTGTATAAGTTTAGTATAAATAGAAGAGAGAGGGAAGGGTTTAGGAGGCTGTTTTAGACTTTGTCATTTGGGACTTGAGAAGATCGAGAGCTAATCTCTTTCTTTTGGGGGGCTTCGGCTCATTAGGGGCTTCAGCCAGTTTCTTGTTACGACTGTTCTTGTTCTTCTTCATCAATAAAATTCAGTTTGATTTCTATTTCTTTCTGTATAATTGTTCTGGATTCTTGGGGTCTCTATCATTGGTATCAGAGCCTGGCGATCGCTGGATGAGATATACGCGCGCCAAAATGGAAGGTAGAATCAACGAAGTGGAAAGAAATATGGTGGATTTTGGAAGGAATCAACGTGAAATGCAAGATCAACTGGAACGGAGGATGCGAGAGATGCAGAATAATATGGCAGAAAACATGGCTGAGAAATTAGCCGCGATTCAGACCTCGATGCAAGCGATGATGCAAGCGACGATGCAAGCGAATATGGCGGAATTTCAGAAAAACTTCACTAATCGATCGCGAAGCCACTCGCATCGATCACATAATTCGCATCGATCGTCAGCATCGCATCGCACATCTACATCGCATCACACTTCTCACCATCATCGCTCACCTCACCATCATCGTTCACCTCACCATCATCGCTCACGACAATCCGCAAGTTCAGAGGAATCGGAAAACAATTCCGACTATTATCCTTCACTTCGACATCAACACCGCCATCATCACAAGGAACGTCATCATCATCATACAGGTAGAAAGATCGACTTACCTATTTTTAATGGAGAAGATGCTTCTGGATGGTTGGTTAGAATGAACCGATATTTCCGCTTGAATCAAACTGAAGAGGAACAGAAAATTGATGTCGCTGTAGTTGCCATGGAGGACAAAGCTCTCAGCTGGTTTCAATGGTGGGAGAGACAGGCTACGTGTCAAAACTGGGACTCTTTTACTCAAGCTTTGACCAAGCGATTTCAACCTGATCTGGTACAGGATCCACTAGGGCCTCTGTTTAGCCTGAAGCAGAAGGGGACAATTCAGGAGTACCGAGATAGATTTGAAAAGGCTATCGCTTCACAAGGCCACTTAACTGAAGAAGTCTTGAGAGGAGCCTTTCTTAAGGGATTGAAAAGAGATATAAGAGCAGAATTGAAGTTACATCGTACTAGAACGTTGGCAGAAGTTATGGATACTGCGTCCGCGATTGAGAACAAGAATTCTGAAACCTTGTTTGTGAAGAATCAGGATGAAGGGAAGAGGAAATGGCAGACTAAACCTATCATCCAGTCTTCAGGCCAGAAATGGGGAGATGAAAGCAGGAAGGAAGGTCCAAGCTGCGTATCTAATGAGACAAGTCCCAGACTATCCCAAGAAGAACTATTAAACAGAAGCAAGAAAGGACTTTGTTTTAAATGTGGTGAAAATTGGGGAAGAGGACATGTCTGCAAGATGAGGAACTATAAAATGATCCTAGTGGAGAATTCGGAGGGTGAAGCTGATTCTGAAGTTGAATCACTGGAATCTGGCAGGGATAAGACCACACTTCTAGAATTGAAGACCATGCAGTTTTCTTTAAGTGATGAGAAAGACATAACCCCTGTGAAAACTTTTAAGGTGAAAGGTAAACTGGAATGGCATGAAGGTGAAAACACAGTAAATGTACTCATTGATGGAGGTGCTACACACAATTTTATGTCACTAAGCTTGGTGGAAAAGTGGAGGATTCCTTATACTCCTTTTCAGGGGTATAGGGTGCAGTTAGGGAATGGAGAATGTATTCAAATCTGTGGCAAGTGTGCAGGTGTAGATCTGAATGTGCAAGGAATTGGTATTCATCAAACTTATTACTTGTTGGAGCTGGGGAGCACGGATTTAGTCTTGGGAATGGACTGGCTAACAAGCTTGGGAGACACGGAGATTAACTTTCAAAGTCAGACCTTCAAATGGGAAGTACAAGGGCAGAAGGTGATTTTACAAGGAGATGACTCATCACGTGAACAGGATGTTGAAGGAGGAAGTGTTCAAAAGCATGAAGTAGTTGTTCCCTATGTTGCAGCAGGCTGCACCTTGGTCTTCCCAAAATCTGCAGGTTTCAGAGTTTTGGATCAAATTTTCTGGCCTCTGTGGAACTATACTATGAAATACATAGAGCGGAAGATGGAAGTAGTAAAGCAAAAGGTCCAGCAGACAAATCAGTATTGGAGAGGGAGGGGCGCTAGGATGAAAGAAAAGAATAAGTTGGTGGCTGTGTCCTATCACCCACCTTGAGGGCAAGGTGGCTGTTTAGGGGGGAGTATTGTTAGGGACCGGGCTTATTAGATACTAAGAATAAAGGACCGGGCCTAGTAGAGTATTAATAAGAATAAAGTGTATAAGTTTAGTATAAATAGAAGAGAGAGGGAAGGGTTTAGGAGGCTGTTTTAGACTTTGTCATTTGGGACTTGAGAAGATCGAGAGCTAATCTCTTTCTTTTGGGGGGCTTCGGCTCATTAGGGGCTTCGGCCAGTTTCTTGTTACGACTGTTCTTGTTCTTCTTCATCAATAAAATTCAGTTTGATTTCTATTTCTTTCTGTATAATTGTTCTGGATTCTTGGGGTCTCTATCAATGTGACTTATTAGGTACACTCATGAACTTTCTGATGAGCCCCACAACTTAAGAAATGTCAGGGTCTTAAGATGCATAAAAATCTGAGTGAACCAACAAGTTGCTTGAATTGAGATGCATCAACCTCACCTTCATCATCCCTCCTCAACTTGATATTCACCTCAGATGGAGTTGTTACAGAAACTTTGCTGGTACATGATGACTCCAGCGGCAGTGTACTTGAATTGCATGCCCACAAATTAGCTCATCACTCCCAATCAGACATCTCAAACTCATACTTCAACATCTTCTTCAACTCATCAATCTTAATTGAATCTGACCCAATTATTAGCAAGTCATCTACATACAGACAGATGAATAGCAAACCAGTGCCATCATGACTCACACCATACTCCACAGAGCATTTGTGAAGCCAAAGCTGATAGAGGAAACCATCTATCCTCTTATTCCAAGCGCGGGGGACTTGCTTGAAGGCATATAGAGTTTTACTGAGCTTGTAGACCATATGCTCCTTACCCTATATCTCAAACCCATGAGGTTGACTCACATAGACCTCTTCTTTAAAAGGTCCGTTCAGAAAGGCTGACTTCATATCAAGTTGATAAATAGGCCAATTTCACGCACTAGTAATGGAGTCCACCAGCCGTATGATTTCTAGTCTTGCAACCAGTGCAAAACCTCAGAGTAATCCAGCCCAGACTTTTGCGAAAACCTCTAGTCAGTAGTCACAAGTCTCGCCTTGTGCTTAGCAATCGAACCATCAAGGTTCAACTTTTGTTTGAACACCCACTTAACCCCAAATTCGTGCTTGTTTGGAGGTAACAGGACCAGGGACCAAGTCTGATTTTTCTCAATTGCTGTCAATTCATCAATTATCGTAGCTTTCCAAATTGATTTCAGGGTTATGTTCTGGAGAACATTTTGCACATGCACTCGTCCATCAAGACGAGCATAAACATGCCCGACTGGTAGCGAGAGTAGTGCTCCTGGGGTCAGATTTTCTCCCGTAGAGCTTGATGGTGGGCCCCTTATACTTCAGAGGTATAAGGGCTTGCATAGTTCTGGCGGCGAAGGGGGTGGCAGATCTTACCCTCATCGTGCCAGACTTATGGTTGAGCTGGTCCTAGAGCTGCTGCACTTGGCGTGCAAGGGTCTCCAGCTGGGGATGTTCCAACACTGGAGGTGGCGGTGGTGCTGCTACTGCTGCTCGCAGCTCATTCGCCTGGCGGGTGAGAACGCGGATTTGCTCCTCCCGCGGGTTCGCTCGGCGGTGGCGCCGAGGCAGAGAATTCCGCTGCTGGCCCGGAGGAGAGGGTTGTTGTTGTTGGCTTGGGGGGGGGGGGGGTCAATTGGGAGAGTGATTGCCTCTCCAGAGCGGAGGTGCGCTTTGGAGTCATTGCCCCGTGCTGCTGTTTGGGGCGCTATTGTTGGCGGTGATGGTGGATGTCAGGGCTCCGAGATCCCGGTTTGAACCCCAGAGGTTCACCGATAGGCATTGATGGGTTGTGTCCCTGTCGCTCAATCTGTTGAAGATGGGGCCTCGCCCCACCTAGATCCACGGGTTGGGGTTGTCGCCCCCCTATAGTCTCGGAGAGACAGAAGACTCCTGAGAGTCCTCGATGGTGATGGCGTAGATGCCCTCATCATTGCGGCAGCCTTAATAGATACGGCGTGCCGCGTAGTTCGGCGGCAGAATTGGGGGTGGTGGGGGGACCACAAACTGCTGCGCCTAGGGGAGAGCGTCGGATGGATTCGGGTAGGATGGGTTGATATTTGGTAAATCCGTTCGGTTAACGGGTTTATAATTTTAAATCCTACCCTGTAAAAAAAACTGATCGGGCCTTTTGGGTTGAAGAAGTTCGGATTGCAGTCGGGTTTCCTCCTCAAGACTTCCACTGTATCCCAAATAAACTCACACGCTACAATGTCTACCCCATTTGTAAATTTCTCTTTTCCTGGATGCCACGACTTATAATCTCCACATTTTAAGTAGTCGTGTCATCAAATGGTTGTTTGTCTAGAGAAACGAGAAATGGCACATCCACACATGATAGTTCTTTTTTGAGAGCGCAAAAGCGGGTACCCTTTGTGATATTTTGGGAAACCATACCTCCGTTTTTTATGAAGGCAAATCAGGATTGGGACTAATTTATAACAAAATGTAATCACAATTTGTTTGCAGCTTTGTTCAAATAAATCTAATGACTGCTATCTTGTATGCATGGCAAGTCACATAAATCGTAACTATACTCCTCTTTAAGATCTATCGTTATACTGTATTTGCTCAAGCTTTCAGACATGTTTTTTTCCGCTTGTTTGATACTTTTGATACAGTGATTGTTGTATTAACTTTATTGCTCTCTTGTATATCTTGTCTTGTAATTACAAACTAATTATCCTCGGATATTTGCAGTATCCACTCCTACTACCCGGTGAGGAAGAATTTGTATATGAGAGCTGCACAACTCTATCATCTTCATCAGGTTCAATAGAAGGTCACTTCACTTTTGTTCCTGGGAGGTAAGTCTTCAAGACATTTTAGCAGCCTCATGTATCGTTCATGTCTTACTTTCAAGTCTTGGTTTACTAATTTCTACACTTGGTGTGCTTTCTGATATGTATAGTGTCTATTTTCATCCTCTTTCAATTAGTATGAAATGCTGTTAGTATATTTTTCTGCACATGTTTGCTGATGGAAGTGGTGAAACCTTGAGAATGAGCTGGTCGAATACCTGTCTAGTTTTTTTGATATCTTCTTTACCCTGTCCTGCTCCCATACCTTATTTATCTAATATGCACTCTTTTGGTGATTTCCCATGAATGATACAAATTTTATCATAGCTATGCAAACTAGAGGCTTTTCTGGTGGCAATGGTTTGTATGGGTTCACATCATATGTTTTCTTGAAAAATATTGAGCTGTGGTGGTACTTTTGATATTGAGTTTATATGAGTTCACATCAAGCGCTTTCATGGAAAATATTTCATTATTTCAACCATACAATTGTTTTTTTTTTAAATAAAGATGATTAAATTACTTTTGGTGTGGAAACTTGTCACAGTAATAAAATGGTGTCTACACTTTCAAAGGCATCAAAATTGTGTACTGCACGTGAAAATTGTAAGTTCATGATAGATGTCTCTGACCCCGCTCATGTAATACATTTGGGCTAGAAATGAGCAAGATTCGAAAAGCTCCATTTTTTACTCAGTTTGTAAAGTGATAGCTGCTAATATGTAGCACCCGATTTGGTTCCTTGACTACAAACTATTTTTCAACTTATCCCTCATTCTTTCTACTCAATTTGGCCCTTGATTTTTTGGACTCAATTTGGTGTTCGACTATGCAGATTATATTGAACTTTGTTCTATGCATATTTCACTATAATTAAGACATGTATTTTGAACAAAATTGGGTCTAAATTACACATTCCCTCCCTATTCATCTTCTTTTGATTTGGCACAAGTTTCTTCAGAAAGTAGAAGTGTTGAAATTTACGGGAGAGAAACAATATCAACGCAAAAGCCTTTCCGTGGAAGGAAAGGGGATAGTTTATGGATGGACAAAAAAGAGAAGAATGAAGCTAAAAAGAGAAAAACTCAGAAAGAGTATCTTAGGGCCAAATTGTGTCTGAAATTGGATCTAAATACAGTCTAACAGAATTAATATCTTTCTTATTTTGAACTAAAATATGTTTAGGACTAAATTGGGTCCAGTTTTCATTATTGGATCATGAATCCAGCCCAACAAAAATTTGGGATCGAATTGTATAACAGTGCCTAGGATAATAGTGTGTGGTTAAGGGACTACCTCAGGTATTAACTAGTACTCTATGTCCCATTTTGTTAAATACTTTCCTTTTTTATCATCCCAAAACTATGAACACTTCCCTAATTTGAACAACTTTATATTTTCTCACTATCATTTCATCATTTACTTTTTGTGTATTTGTACTACATTCCCTTCCTTTTCCAAAAGGTTAGATTTCTAAAATTACAACTATCTTATTACTTTTTAAAAAATCATGTCAAACTGAAATGTTTCTTACACTTTGGGACGGATGAAGTTACATTTGAGCTAAGTAGTGCTAGATTTCCTGGATTGGTATCCGTTAAACTAACTCACAATAGTTCTTGTGGGATGGTGACACAGTGCCGAATCCAATTCTTCAAACTTAGTACTTTTTAAAAAACAATTGATTTTACATGTACTCCGTACTTTTTAAGTAGAGGTATTGAGTTTTAATTCCGTATTTCTGTCCAAGTGTAACTAATCCTCACACAAGTCTTGGTTGAATGCTTATTATAGTTATAGGAAGGCTGATTCCTCCCCCTTTTCTTCTCAGCTTAGCAGAACCAGAAGGCACTCCATTTGAAGTCGAAGTGGCTAGATTTCCGCTTCAGTTGCCAGACTACATATTCTAATTGCAAATTCTGGGAACAAACCATCTTTCACGGTCAGCAGGCTGTAGTATGTGTGGTAACCCGATCTCATCTTGTGTTGGTGTTCTGGTTATTCTCTTTTGGACTTGTGTTGTGCAAAAAACTACACAAAAGAGCACCGAATCTTATGTTGAAATCGGATCATCATACCCTTGATCTAACCAAATTTGATTCTTGTTGCTTCATAGTACTCCATATAAGACTACAAAGGGCCCAAGTCTTTTTCTTTTTCTCTCATCGTACAGAGTATTATTTTTGTTGTTGTTTAACTCTATAAAGACTTTGGTTTTATACTTAAAAAGTGAATCTAATAGGAATAATAATCAAATATCTCATATAGAGTGAATTAAACCTAAGGCTTATCATTAATAGGAATAATAACCAAATATCTCATATAGATTAGATCAAACCTAGGGCTTATCATTAAAAAAAAGTGAATGCTATGGTATCCATAAAAAAGAGAGGGTATCGTAACTTTCATGCATTTAATTGACCCAAGTCAGTATTTCATTATTTATTTATATTTAAATTATTCAATTGCAATATTCTAATTGGTCTTTGATGATACCACATAATTTCCCTTAAAAATCATTTTGGCCGTATGAGAAGTATGCTAGTCTCACATTAGATGCAAGGATGGACATGGATCCGGTCCTAAGGAATATATTGTGGGGCATGGAGCCAATATCGCTATTTAAGGTTCCAGTCCCGATTGATGATCGGCCGGTCCTAGCCCCGGTCTGCTTTAATTTTTATCCAAAAAATTAATACCTTTTTTATAAGTTTAAACATGTATGGATTATAATGTCATTGGGAAAAATAATTAAAATACCCCAAACTTTGAAGGGGTGTGAGATGAATACCCCAAACTTGCATATGTAATTTAAATACCCCAAACTTTACATAAAAAGTTATTTTGGCACCATAGGCAAGCATTATTTCTTTCAAAAATGTAAACTTATGGGATTAATTGCATAATTTAAAATATCTTAGAATTCATGAAGACGTAATTAACATTCTAAACTTCCATTGCAAAATAAATAATGTTACCCTCAATCTATATAATTGCAACACTTTCATTTTCCGTTTTAAATTGTGCAATTAACCACATAAGTTTACATTTTTGAAAAAAATAATACATGATAATGGTGCGAAAATAACTTTTTATATAAATTTTGGGGTATTTAAGTTACATATGCAAGTTTGGGTTATTTAAATTACGTATGCAAGTTTGGGGTGTTTACCTCACATCCTTCAAAGTTTGGGGTATTTTTATTATTTTTCCCAATGTCATTTAGATACTACATATTTATTATTCCCTCTAGCCCTTAAAACTTTTATCTTTGAATTTTTTATCAACTGAAATAAACTTTGATTAACGATTTATTTTTATGGGAAATTTATTATAATATAAAAGTTATATGATTTTTTTTTGTTAATGTCAAAGACTAAATAATCACATTAGATTACTGCCAAGGAATTCTATTTTTCTCTCCGAAATAGGAATTTTTACCATCATTACTGAAAAATATTATCATTAATGGCAGTAAATATAATCATGTTATGTTAATGTCTAGTGTTGCAAGTCCTGGAAGTCTGGAACTATTTTAGTTGTAATGACTCCAAAATTGTAGTAAATATTGTCATGTTACTCCTATTTTGGAAATAAGAATATAACAGTTCTATTCTGAGATTCTCAAACATTTTTACTCCTATTTCAGAAATTTTCCCATTTTAAAAAGATTTTTATAGACATGTAAGAGTGTGTTTGGATCTACTTCTTAAAACTGCTTCTGCTCCCTCTTAGGGAGCAAACACATACTACGTATATTAGAGTGTTTGGGTGAATGTGCAAAAGTACTTCTGCTGTTCCAAATTGCTCATAGGAGCAGCTTTTTAGAAGCTGGGGGAGACCATTTTCTGAAAAAGTGACTTGTTTCTGCTTCAGCTTTTTAAAAAGAAGCAAAAGCAGAATCAATTTCAAACACTCCCTAAGTATGTAACTATTACTTTCGCAAAAAACAAATATAGCTATTACTATGTAGTTGTGAGCCTCAAGTGAAAGGAACCTTTCTCCTTGCGGAGTGCCGTCATTTGCCGCACACTTCATTGCTTGAGTTTTAAGCCTTTTTGCTATTGACTAAAATAGTCTTAATCTATTTTCAACAGGTACACTTTGATAAATTTTATAATGCCAGTTGTAGACAATGTAATCGTTATCATAGTATGTGTATTTTAGAGAGAGAGTTAGGATCAAATACAAAAAACTTTCTTAACGTGCAAGTGTGAAATACATTTCTAAGCATATATAGTGCACTTGCATAATGAGCTGTTGCATTTTAAGCATTGGTAAAAAAACACTCTTTGGAAGGGAACACAATGACATTTTTGTAAATAAGTGGATCATTTAACAAACTTGTAAAAGTGCATTGTATGAACATAAAAGTGCATTGAAGTGAAATTTTCTCATTTTACACATTAAGATCCAGTTTTATTTTAACCAGACCCTATATGTGTGTGGGTGGGGGGGGGGGGGGGTTCAATACAATCTATTCTTATTGTGCAAATGTTTGTACGTTGCATATTTACGCTATGTGTATTGTATATTGAGCTTAGAAGTGTTGCATATTATTGTTCAATAAAAATAACATTAACATATAAACGGTCAAAGAGTTGTATATGAAAAAAGTTTGAATTTATTACCAAAATGCCACCGTGTGATTCTAGCCTTTAGTCAATTCAACGGATGACCACAATGAATTCAGTTTAGGGGCCAAAGATCCATAAGTGGTGCAGGTTTGGAGGTAATGTATAACAAAATTTGATTTTCAGTGTAAGGGTGATGTAACAGGTTTTCAGTTTCAAGGGAAGGGTTGGTATGGAATTTGTATTTCACTTAGTTGTGTGATGGGATGCCATTTGTATAAAAGTTTGAGTTGAATGATGGTTTGAAATGATTATTTCATTTTCATTTGTACGTAAACTTAGGGAAAGGAATGCCAAGGACATCAATGTCAATGCTCAAAATTTAAGGAAAAGGCAAGCTGAAGATTTGGAAGTTACTGGTGATGCCATAACTGCAAGAGAGAGGTTTCATGAGTTGTTTGACTCCATGGAAGATAATAGTGGGCAGTACATTTGTGTAGTTTAGAGCTACGGTTTTGGTACCACGTTTCTGGTGTGTGTGCCGGTCATGGTTGCAGTTAATGGTTTGTGCAAACTCTATGAAGCTTTGAACAATTATGTATGGAAATTTCAGTTCATGGTTTGAGGTGAATTTTGAGATTCTGGTTTGATTTCACAGTTTGATATTGTCATTGTTTCAAATGTCATAGAATAGTTTGAGTTCATGGTTGATTCAGTTCAGGGTATGAGTTCAAATTTCAGTTAATGGTTGATTGAGTTCAGGGTATGAGTTAAAATTTCAGTTCATGGTTTATTAAGTTCAGGAAATGAGTTCAAATTTCAGCTGACAAATTAGTTTTATGCTTTTTTCATTGCATGAATACAGTTCATAAGCATGGGGGAAGTCCAATACCCTATGACTTCACTTAATACTTTGAAAGGAACAAACTGTCTACTAAGCCTTCTTCTGTTCATACAGTTCATTTAATACTTTGAACTCAAGTAGTTTTGTTCCGGGAAGATGCACAACTAATCTTTCCCAAATCAACACCAGGCATTAACTTCAAAAAGCTTAGCTTAAGTTTAGTGGGGAGTCTCATAAAGCATGGGGAAGTCCAATACACTATGAATTCTGTTCATTCAAAAAGCTTAGCTTAGGTTCAGTGGGGAGTCTCATAAAGGCTAAAGCATGGGGGAAGTCCAATACACCGAATAAGCTATGCTTCTGTCATTGAATTCATGCTTTGAAAGGACAAATGCATATATCTCTTATGAGTTTAGGGGGAAATGCATATACGGAGTATCTCTTATGAGAAGAAAAGTTCAATATACTTATGGTACAATTGTTTTCAAAGTCTTAAGTGGTTTAAGCTTCTTTCTGAAAGTGAGCCACATCCATATCAGCTATCACTCACATTCACACCCATATCAACCAAATACAAGAAACAACAATAACCGATTCACAATAGGATTATAAACTACAACAAACCACAAGCATCAACTAGGTCATAAATTTTACAGGGTTACACATCAACAATTCATAACCGATGCACAAGCTTCAATAAATGACCATAAACCCTACAGGATTACAAAATATGAACAAGGTTTACAACTGTTCATAAACCCCTACCCCCTACAGGATTAGAACATACAAACGAGTACAATTGCTCAAAAATCCCTGCAGGATTACGTAATGGGAGCCTCACAAGTTTTCCATTTTAAGGTGTTCTTCTTTTCATTGCCAATTCAAATGATCAACAACAGTAGTAGCACAATTCCTCCTATGATACAACATAATTGCAGTTTGTTTGTTTTCCTCAAAAGACCTGGTATAATCACCTTCGACCTTGCACACATTTTTGGATCAATCCATTTAAACATGTTGCTGCAGCCACCTATACCCTATTTTAATAATATCATTAGGTCAAGAATAATAAATAATTGACAACACATCACAAATTAGAATCATTCGAATAGCCTTACTCTTGAGCACAGAATGAACCATCTCCCTGTATTATCATCTGTCCATGAAGTCATCAGCTTTACGGGAAGACTACATTCGCAATTTCCATAAGCCATTGTTCGCAAACTTGATTCACAAACGGAATAAATATGAAACATAAAGTTCCGTAAGGTGATTAACAACATCAACCAGACTCACCGCAGGAGAAGCCGCTGAAGGAGAAGTTGCCGGAGGAGAAGACAATAACGGCTGAAACAGAGAAGAGACGATCGGATCTTTGACTTGTAAAATTTGATCTCATCTGATATATTAGGGTTGGATTTAAAGGGGAATAAGGAGGAAGCTGACTTGGAATCCGCAGTGTACCACACAAACGATTAATAATTGCTAACTCAGTGTTTTATCCCACCTAAAGCCCAATAAGACTAAATTAGCACTGATTATCCGAGTTCTCATACCTCTCAATCTCGGTTGCATCATCAAGTACTTTTTATTCCATCGGTTACAGATTATGTACTGATTTGACACTTTTTTCAAAAATTATTACTCCCTCGGTCCCGCTAAAATTGTCCCAGACACTATTCACTTGGTCGGCACAAATCAGTCTTAATCTTTGGCTTTATATATCAAATTTTTATTAAATTTGATTCTGTTTTTTTGCGACTTTGTAAAGGTTTTAATGTAGTTTATTATGAATATGTAATTTTGTTTTTAAAAATAATTTGAGTGTGAATATGTAAGTTTTTAATCCTTTAAAAAAAATATGTAAGTTTTTAATCGAATAAAATAGAAATAGTCACAAACTTTACCTTACGGCCTGTTTGGATTGAGTGTTGAGGAGTGTTAGTAATGGAAGTGTTAGTAAGTGTTGATGCTAACACTTGTTTGGGAGAAAAAACCAGAGGCGTTAAGAAGTGTTAGTAATGGTTAGGAAGTGTTAATAATAACCTTCCCAACACCTCAATTGTCCATTTTTTTAACACCCCGATTTGGAGTGTTTTGAGTTGTTGGACAATTATTACCCTTCTCATTTGCCCGAAAAACATAAAATGCTTCGACATTTCACTTCGAATGTCTTTCTCACGGGTCTGATGGTTTGTTTTTTCATCTCTTCTCTTTACTCTTTCTTTACTCTTTCTTTAACACTTCCATTATTAACACTTCATTAATTTGACTCTCACAAACAAGGTAAAATTATGTCTAACACTTGCACTCTCCTTCCCTTCCGAGCCCTTACTAACACTTACTAACACTTCCATTACTAACACTTCCAAACACTCCATCCAAACAGGCCGATCGCAAAAAAAGCACCCGTCGTGTTCCAAACTTTACCTTACAGGCGCTCTTGTTCTATCGGGTCTGCCTCTCACGAATACTCGCTGCTCAGCATCTCGCTACTGCCGGACGGGTGTACACCAAACGAAGCACGCGTGTTCCTGTAGTACCCCAGCCGAGCCGAATCGGCCCTAGCCAGTTTTGTGTCCGACACGCCATATCTCCCAGGTTTGGCGTGTTCGTGCTTCATAGGAACCTCTACTAGCGCTGTTGGCGTGTTCGTGCTTCAATGTATAGTTCAGTAATGCATTCAATCCTTTTCTCTTTGACATTTTTTTTTTCATGTTTGCATAAAATTCTAGTTGATGTTTGTGATTCTTCCAGTTGAGGCAGTGCAACAAATTCTCACAGACAGTGGCGGAGGTTGGCGGTATATTGGGGTGATCGATACAAATAATATTTTTGAAATTTTTTGTATAGGACTTTTTGTATACAAAATTGATATTCCGGGTGGGCCGGGGCCTAGGTTGCCCCTCTAGCTACGCCCTGTTCACAGATGTTCTCAACCGGAATGCATCGATGTTAGCTCAAAGGGCTTTTGTATATTATGGACTCGTACATTTTAATCTTAAACCAAGAGTAATGGTGTCATTATTGACTCTTTCTTGATACTTGGGGTTTAGACCAGACCACCAACAGTGCAACACTTGCACTCTTCTTTTTGCAAAAAGGAAAAACATCAGTTCATCATTTTTCACTGTAATTTGTAGTCCAGATTTTTTTTCATTATTATACTCTTAGGTTGTCCTAATATTCTATTTCCTTTATTTATTTATTTATAGTTTATTTTTTTAAGTTAACCCTTTGTTTTTCTTAGTATCCAAAATGACAATGGTATAGTTTGTTTTCCTTGAAGGTCCAATTACCTGATGGAGTACCACCATTTATACATATCAATCAAAACGATTTCTTAGGCCGAAAGTAAGTCCATCCTGATTCTTCCTTTTGACCATTTTCTTCGCTGTAAATTTCACGAGGATTCCATTTGGTGATTATATTTGAACTAGCAGTTTGTACTTTTGCTGAATTGTGCTTTGAGCTTTTTAATATTTTTTTTCAAATCTGTTTCAATTTATTATGCTCTTGAAACTCATGTTTTTTATATGCACAGTGTCACTTTAATATGGGTTATTGGGTATCATTGCGAGAAGTTTTTTAACAGGAATATTTAGTGATTTGATTTGTCAATGTAAATGGTAAGCAAAAATAGTTCTTACACATCCACGAAGATTCAATTACGTTTTATGTTAAATTATTACAAACAGAAGAAATACACTCAATACACTAGTCCTAAAGAAAGGCACTATTTATGGAGATGATGACTTTCTATAAACTTTACACTTGGACACCAAATGTTTCCTAAATTATCTTTTCATTCTAAAATGTTATCCACCCCTACTCTAAATGATCAACAGTTCCTTGGCCTGTTAATCATAGCTCAATGGATGGAATCTGTCCAAGATTGATAATTTTATGATGTTTTATAGTTGAATATTCAAATGACTTAAGAAGAGGTAGATAAGGTAACAGAATAAGGAGCAACGTTAACCTTGACAAACTGCTAACAGTAGGTCTATTCATGATAAAATTTTAGATATATTATCTAAAGCATCAACAGGTTCCGTTTTTGCAACTAAGCAACAACTGTTTTGCCAATAATCGTTATTAAAACTAAAAGTAGACTAAGAGCCCGTTTGGTGACTTTATTTTTCGGCTTATCAGGCTTATCAGCCAACTTTTTATCCAAACACGTAACTTTTGATTTCGCGCGCGGAGTTCTGTAATAATAAGAAAAAGTAAGGTTGGAGTTACTTTTCTGGTTGTATTGGCTTAAGTCACTGTAGATGACCATTTTAGCTATTGTTTTTCCATATAATTTGTTCTTTATTTTATTAATAAAATATATTTTAAATATAATTTTTTCATAAATCAGCAGAATCAGTCAATACAGCCACTTCAGCCAGAACTTCATAAATTTCAGCAGAATCAGCCGATTCAGCCAATTTCAGTGTTACCAAACGGGCTGCAAAGCTGAAAAAGTAGATATCATTTTGAGAAATATTCCCCTCTTCAAATTAGAGGGCATTTTCTGTTGAAAATAGAGACTGGTTGCATAGTTAAATTTCACTATCATCGACCTCTTGTATGCACTGTCACTGGTCTTAGAGCCACACATACCAATATACCATCCTAAGTGCTGGAGAGACACCCATGCTCAGACAGCTAAACCAGTCTTCTGCAAGGCACATCACTCTCTTGAACACTCAAGAACATTAAACAAAATGTAAGAGAACAGATGAACTCGCCTTGGAGTCTGGACATTGTGCTCCTCAAGTCTATCTACACTCTGACCTCATGTGATCTGGCTACTACTGACACATTGCACTCTAACATGTATGATGTTGTTAACACACAAATACCACACACTCTCCGATTACTTTTTGATGTTTTTGCACCTGAAACATTATTATAAGAAACCCTAATGTCATGAGATGAGAAACT